GCTTTATAGGCGCTTAACACTCATTGCGTTGACTGCTTTACTTATAATTACAATGATCAACGTATACTCTTCAAAAATCGCCGACTGGATAAATCAGAGTCTTGCTATTGTCAAGACACTAACTGTTATTACTATAGCAATTATTGGACTCATTGAAATAAAAAACAGTACCAATTGGAATGATGCCTTTAAAAGAACTGATGGTAGAAATATAAACATCTCGGATTTCACAAATGCATTAGTCGCGGTAAGGTGATAAAGATTTTATTTAATAAATAAATTTGTTTTAAAAGTATTTATTTTTTTATCAGGTGTCTTTCAGCTACAATGGATACAATAACTTAAACTGTAGGGGCAATTCAATTGAAGTTTTTTTTTTTTAAAAAAAAAAAAAATAAAAATTCATAAATGTTAATTTTATTTACAATTTTATAAATTTAGATTCACTAGATGAATTCGATGATCCCAAGCGAAACTTGATCTACAACAATACTATTTCGGTCGGGATCGTTGGAGTTCTATGTGAGTAATAACGATAAAAGTAACCATAAAGTGATTGAGTTATTTTTAATAATTATATTAAATTATTTATTATTTATAGATGTCCTCGCAAATGTGGCCTTTATATCGGTCGTTGATTATAAAAATACTAGCAACTCGGTTATAGTACTTTATTTTGCCAATGCAATTTCTGGACGAGTTTTTGGGAAAATATTATCATTCTTTGTAGCATTATCTGCTTTTGGCACCATGGGATCACTAATTTGGAGGTTTGAACCTTTATATTTCACATATCCTAATATCTTTAGCATTATATACGCAAAAAAAAATATATATTTAATTTTGTTTTTTAGTGGTTCTCGTGTCATTGTCACTGCTGGTCATAGAAGTTATTTCCCGGTGTTTTCTGACAAACTTCAAAAAATTAGTAAACGTGGAACTCCTATGAATGCTTTATTACTCCAATTTATTTTGGGCGCGATTGTAATTATATTAGTAGGAGGTGCCCATCGCAATTCATTTCAGGTTTTGTATTCAATGGCGCAATATACTTCATGGCTTTTCTATGGTCTTATAGGTATAGGATTAATTGTAAGTATGTTTAACAAATTTTTATATTTTTATATTTTTTGGAAAATGCTTTATTTTTAATATATATATATTTATTTTAAATATATATATATTTATTTTATTAAAAGCGCATTCGACTTATAAATATAAATAACGAAAATAAGAAAAACCAAAAGGAATTTTGGTGGATCGTAATTTTTATGTACATTGCTTGTGCTCTGTACATCACTGTAGTTTCATTCGTGGGGACTAGTAATTCTAATAATGTTTGTTCTATTCCAAAAGTCTCCTATTATTTACCAAATGGGATTAGCCTTGGATTTTTAGTTATTGGTTTTATATCTTGGATAACTCTTTATTCTTGGCGGAATGATAACCTAAACCCAAACTCAACCCCGGCCTGATAATATAATAGTCTAGGACCAGATGAAGGTCCAATAATAATATAATAGTAATAGAAGATTAATACATCATAAAAATTTTTTATTTATTTATAATTCTTTGTATCAAAGAAGAAAATAATTTATTACTTAATTTAATAAAAAAAAAAAAAGATATGATGATTTTTTTTGGTATTCTTGCACAATTCACGTGGTTCAAAAAACTTTTTCAATCGGAGAACATTTCCGAAAGACAAAAAACTTTATTTTTGATTTTCAGTAAAATATATAAAAATAGGAATAGACAAAGCTCATGACTTACACAAAAATATATATTTAGTTAATCTCGGAGTAAAAAATCCCGCGAACACATTCAACCATCCGCATGGGTTGACCCCAAAACCAGGTAAGAACGAAGTAAGATCCATGGACGAACTAAAAGCAAGAATTGAAATTTTTAAGGAACAAATATTTTTTTTTGAATTCTAATGATAATTATTACAAATATAATATAGTAATATACATATATAATTATAAGTTTAAAAATTCGGGAATATTGTATATATATACAGAATGAAATTAAAAAATATAAATAAATATGAAAAATGTATGAAATGTGATAAAATCTATAGTTCTAATGTATAAAAAATTGAATAAAATTTTTTTTATAGAATTAAGTCATTCTTTTTCGCAAATGAATGGCATTCTTCGCAAATCCACCGGATTTCATTAGATTCTTTCATGCAGACCCAGTGTAGATTCCCTAATTTATTCTTCTTATCAATCTCTCCTAATATTTTTTCAAGTTCGCGTTGGAAGGGTCCATTATCTCTTGTATCAATATGGATTTTATCATCCATGTTCTCGTCGATAATAGTTTTTAGTTGCTTAAATTTATTCAAGGTGCTCTTTGATTTTTTCCAGAACATTTTCGCTATCGTGAAACCATTCAAATCAATATTCTGGTAAGAACTAGCAACCTGGATAGGGTGATTCGGAAATTTATGTGAATTTTAGTAGTATTAGTACGGTCAGAATTATAATAGTATGTATGATTATTAGTGTGCTATTATTAATATTATTAGCATATATAAAAATTAGTATGTACGATACCTGAATAAGAGCGATGGAAGTTGCTATTGATCCAGCTGCGAGTCTGAAAAAAGTATTGGGCTCTGCAATGGTGTACCCACCGTGGTTGGTTTCATGCGGAGGAAGGTTTGTCTCGGAGCAGTTTAAACCTTCGCACAGTAAGTGCAATTTAAAAGTATCATGGCCCCATTCTTTAATTGGCGGAATCCGAGATTCATTAGATTCATTCACCTTGGGGAGAATGACGAAAACCGTGGGTGTTTTCTTTTTCTTCTTTTCAACCAACTAAATTTCATATCAAGTTAAAATTTTCATAAATGATTAATAATATAGTTAATACTAAAGTATTATTGTTTTTTTTGTCGCGCTTTATGAGTGACAGATACAAAGTGACGAATATGATTTTCACATGCTAAAAAATTACAGGCGTGACAAGAACTAATCTCTGAATTTTTATAATAAAACTACCCCATGCGACTATATAATAAATCATAATAATCTATAATGAAAAAACTACCCCGAGGTGAACACACATCTATAATAAACATAAACATAATAAATTAAAGATTCTAATTATTACCAATTTTTTTATTTCTTCTATTCCCTTGGTAAATCCATTTATTCTCTCTGCCGTATCTGGCCCACCAGCAAAAAAGTTTGAATTGATTAGATTATGAAGGGCTAAACGATCCTTCCCTTTTGCCTGTAGCATCTGCGACATTAAACGAGAAGCTTGCGCATCCTTGATTTCAGATAATAACGGATCAAATGGCTTAGAAGTTTCGAGCATTTTTTTCAAGTCCTCACTACCATCATATATTTTCCGTTTGGTGAAGAGAAAATAAAAAAGACAGCCGAGACTGAATATATCCATGGAATAACTGACTGATAAGTCAGATTCCCACAAAATTTCTGGTGCCGAATAGCCCATAGAATACAAGAAAGTGTCGTTCCCAGTTTTGATTAAAGTGTCGGCTTTACGAGCGGATTCAAAATCTGCCAAACGAATGTCTAACCATTTCTTCTGGCCGATAATAATATTACTAGGCTTTAAATCTAAATGCTTTATGTATATAATATATAAAACATAAAAAAGTTATATCAAATATTAGAAATCTAAAACTAAGAATGGTTTCGAAAACCTCAGAAAGAAATGTCAAAATATACATAAACATTACCACAATTCCTTTACTGTGCACATAATAAACTGCACGAGCGATATCCCTCAATGTCATTTTAATTTTCAGAGGGTCATTATCAACTCTTTCGATCTCGGACTCCAAAGTATGTCCATGATGGGCTGTTATTGAAACATATCCCAGATGGGATGATTCTCCATCTTCCCACTCAACCACATGAGAAGATTTTAATTCCTTAAGAAATTTGGTCTCGTAGTCGTAATGGATTTTATTATTAAAAATCTTAATCACCACGAGTTTTCCGTTATTTATATGTCGCCCATTTATCACCAAATTTCTGAATTTATTCTGATTCTTTAATTCAATTAAATCAACTGAGGGATCTATCATATATTTTCCGGCAACAATGGTGCAGGTATCAGCAATGCTGCTTTGGCTAGAAGCATTACTACGTTCGTCTTCTGATGGCGGGGAAGGAAGAATTTCGGGCCGACTGGAGGATGAATAGTCGGATAGAGGTAATGAAGTGGAAGAAAGGATTTGTCGACTGGAGGATGAATAGTCAGATTGAGTTAATGAAGATCGAGGTAATGACATTTCTGTTGTACCCGGTGGAATACGGATAGGTTGAGGTATAACTGTATCTGGTATATTATTTTTTAAATAAATGATTGTATTTATAGAAATTTTTAAACTGATTTTTCCAGTAATCGGTCCATTATTAAATTGATGGATCACTGTTTAAATCAAAATATCGAAAATAAATATCATTAGAATATATTTGTTAAGAGATTACAAGGAATTATCAATTATTGTTGAATAGATTGATCATTACCTTCGACTGAACCTTCTTCTAATAAGGCTTTCCAATATTTCCCATCATTTCCCTTTCTAAGATCAATGGCGGTCTTAACACATTCACGGATTATCTTTATATACTTGAAATATCTTATTTTGAACGAAACATTTAAGATCGAGTACTCTTGTGAAATTAGTCGCAATAATATTGGATTTGTTTCTTTTATATCATTAAATAATAAAGATTTGCTTTCATTGTTCATCTCAAATTCAATAGATTCGATTGCTTGATTTTGATTGAGCTTACTAGGATTATTAGAAATTAACAATTATAAATTAGAGAGAAGATCAAAATAATTATAACACATTTAATAACTTACATTGAATTTGCATTCACAAAGATTAAAAGAGCTCCAACAACATCATTCGTCCTAAATGGGCATCCTATGTTTATCATATTATCTATAGGTGGTGCCTATAAAGATATTTTAATTAATTTAATTCAATTATTTCAATTTGATTAATTAAATTATTCAAAATTTATAATTCTTCTTTCCTATCTTTCTTACCCCAGATAAAAAGAAAAGCATCATTGATAAAGAACCCACAACGAATTTCATAGTAAAACGATTCTTTCTTTCATCTTGTAAACGTGCTCTGACTTTTTCAATCATAGCATCATTTCCTAATTTTTCAGTATTCCAACATGTAAAGATGACATCTAACCGGGGATTCAATACAAATTTAAATGTTATGTCATTTAAATTAATAACGGATTGATTTAGTGTTCTAAAATAAATTAATCAAAATTTCACGTTAATAAAATTTTAATGAATTAGAAGTGTATACGTGAACATGGATTTATGTGTGTGAATATATGTGAAAAGAAAATAACTTACAATCCGTATCCAGGAGTAGTTACTGATACATCAGAATATTGTATTGTAAACCTTATAGACTTTATTCTTCGTTCCGAACAAAACTTATTATTGCTAAAAATTGAAATAAATGATAATAGAGAATATTGAAAAAGTAAGATAAATAATTACAAATTATTAATGAATTTATAAAATTAAAAAGGATTCTTACACTTCAAATTTGTTAAGCACGAATATACCGAAATGTGAATGTGTTGACATTTTTAATAATAATAAAAAAAAAAAACTGAAGAAAAATTAAGAATAATTTAGAATAATTGAGAACAAAGAAAATTTTTAAACAAGTCTATAAAGACCCGAATTTGCGGGCGTAAACTTGGGAAATTGGTTGCATCCAAAAAAAAAAGAAAATATCTAACCAATTTATATAAACTAAAATTTTTTGGTAATATTAATTGTCAAAAAATTTTAAATTTTAAAATACAGGTTTTTAAGACATGTGTATTTATTAGTACAAATTTTTATACAATTAAAGCTACTTAATAGGAATTTTGTATTTTGCTCCGCGAGGAAAAAGTATCGTTTTTGATAAATCTATAGTTATTTGAAGTAACGTGCGTAACTAATTATTCGATGAGCACGTATTTTCATATTCTATGTCAAAGGTATCGTTTTTGATAGATCTATAGTTATCTTTTGATAGGCAAAGGTATAAATCAAATTTCATGTGACAAAATAGTTATTTTTTTGAGGCATCTATAAATAAAACAATTAAAAACATCAAAAAAAAAGACCATTTTTGTCGCACGTATTTGATTTATCAAAAAAATAACCAAAAACGATACTTTAGACTCATTTTTGTAACGTGATGAAACTAATATATGCATTGTTACGTATTTTAGAATAACGAAATCATGAGATCATTAAATAATTAATTGAAAAATGATGTATCAAAAAATAACCATTGATGTACCAAAAAATAACCATTGATATACTTTTGCATATTCTATATATATTCGTGATACCTAAAAGAAGGCAAAGATTTCGTTTTTGATAGATCTACGGTTATTTTTTGATACAACAAATATACATTGTTCACATGATATATAGAATATGAATATCACGTGTCAATCAAATAATTAGCTGCGCACGTTACTTAAAAGTATCAAAAAATAATATATACTTTTGCCCTTATTCTAGACCTCCTGGATTATACATGTTCCCAAAATTGATTTTGGATTTTTGAGGTATTTCGACTTTTTAAAATTTATGCAAAATCTATTCTATATATGGAAGTAAAAAAAGTACCTAGTTATATGTATCTTTAATCAAAAAATAAATCTGGGTGGTCAAAAAATTTTGAATTTTAAGTAAAATAATTTTGTCTTCTATAAAAAACTATTTCGACTTTTTTTTCCGAAATTGTAATTTCAGGATTCCAAAATAATTTTGTGTGCAAGTATAGTTATCACTGTTATCTACTTACGTAAAACAATAATATCAATTTTTATTAAAGATAAATGATAATAATTTGATTTGATAAGTAGATCAATAGTAATAATGTTTTTACATCTATTAGGTATAATATTAATAAATGATATTTTATAGTTAAAAAAGTTACTGCACAAAAGAATTGACTCAGTAATCGATATTGTGTATAAACTACTGAAAGTATCAAAAATTAAAATCAGATTTTTACAACATACACTAACCTAAGCAAAAATATCAAAAAACATTTCAATTTGAATATTAAATATGACAGTACTTAAAAAATTAAAATAGAAAAATAGAATCATTCTGATCCGTGATTCAGATATCACTGATCAAGATGATGATAATAATAATAATGATAACAATAATGATTATGAAATAGGAACAAGTAGTAAAAAAAAAAGATGGAAAGATAATAATAATGATCATAAAGTAGAAACTCGTAATAAAAAAAAGAAAACAAAAAAGAAAGGAAAAAGAAAAAAATAAAAAATAAAAAAAAAATAAAAAAAATAATTAGATAGATTATTTTATATAGCATATATAATATATTTCATTTTATATTTTTCATAATAAATGTATTTCATTTTATTATTTTTTTTATAATAAATTAAAATTATGATTATTTGTAAATAAAAAAAAGTGAAAATATATATATATAAATAAAAGGTACCGATAGATATCCGATAAAGAGAAAAATTACTTGATATACAAAGATATACTGTGCTTGATATATAGAAATATACTATAACCAATTTATAAAAGATATGTACTTAATAAAAAAAAAAATAAAATTGGATGCCCAATATATGAATGATGAATTTGAATAAAATATCAAATATTAATGCTTAATATGAAACAATATGAATCTGATAAGTGTTCGAACTTCTGTATTTCAACTTTATCAATTAGGTATCTGATATATTATATAATTATTAATATTGGACATCTATTATTGCTTATTAGGTATCTAATAAGTATACAATAAATATTTGATATTTCCTATTTCATCCAGTGATACTATTCTAAGATATTTTACAAATGTTTTGTTTATATAACATACCAAAATTAGTATTTTTAGTATATTATTTAAATGTTTTGTTTATATAGCATATTAGAACATATCATTTTAAAGTATTTTATAAATGTTTCATTTATATAGTATACTAAAATTGACATTTTTAGTGTATTATTTGAATGGTTTATTCATATAGCATACTAGAACACCTCTATATAATTCTAGATATTATACATATCTAAATAAGATAAAATAAATAAAATAATATTGAAATTAATTTCCTTCACTTCTCCTTCTTTGTCTTCTTCAAAAATTTTTTTACTTATTCACTTTTTCCTTTTTTTTTTTATTAACTTCATCTTTTGTAACAGCAATTTTGATAATTTTAACATTGGCAATTTTAGTATTGTTGATTTGATGATTTTAGTAATTTCTTTTTTCTTTATTTCTATTTCTTTCTCTTTTACATTTGTTTCTCCTTTTTTTCTATTAAGCCTTTACCTTTTGTGATGATAATTTCAATAATTTTAGCATTGGCAATTTTGACATTGGCAGTTTTAGCAATTTCAATAATTTATCTTTTCTTCCTTTTCCCCTCCTTTTCTATTTTTTTCACTCTTTCTACCTTTTCCTTTATACTTGCTTTTTCCTCTCTTCTTCCATTAAACTTCCATCTTTTGTGATGGTAATTTCAGGAATACCAGCATTGGCATCAACCATATTTAGGTAGTTTTTTACTTATATTTAAAAAAGGTGAAGTGTCTATTATAATTATTACTAAAAAGGTAAGGGGTCTAGAATAATTTTCCTGAACCTGGGGGTATTTTGATAGGCTAATTCACTGACCAGACTATTTCGAAAACAGATAAAATTCAAGGATATTTGGGGTCCTAATTGAGCCCACTAAATAGAATGTATCTATAAAAGTTTAATGTCAGTAGGTATAAATTTTTTTAAATAATAATCGTGACCTAAATTCAAAAAAAGGAAGTTACAACAATATCCCTTGTTAAAATTTCCGTTTTTGAATTTCGGCGGCATATAGGATCGTGACCCGATTCGTAACGCTAGTGTCACACGTGAATTATATCAATTACAACACCCAAAAATAATAACTCAAAAAAAAAGAAAAGAATGTCTGGAAATCTATTGCCATCTAATAATAATACTTTTGGTGTCGACGACGCCTTTGATACTTACATTGACATGGACTTCTTGAGAAATGACACAATGGAAGAAGAAGTTGACATTGGGAACATGTCTAACTCGGATCTCTTTCATTATTATTTGGAGGGTGAATTAGCTAAAGATCAAGTAAACCTTGACTCAACAAACTATGTAACCATGCAAAATGTAGATGACTTTTCACTTGCTACAGATCCAGATTCCGCTCCCGAAACGTCAAGTCCAGACCAAAGAAACGCTATTGAAGATACCGATGTGCTTTCTCAACCTACAAATGTTTCGACTGCGGTTGGTCCATCCTTGGCGATTCTAAATGCGCAGTTGGCAGAATTATTGGCCAAACTTCCTTCTATTAAACAAGAGGCAATCATAGAAGACAAAGTTTCTTCATTACCTGATTCCACATTGCCAGCAAATTCTACTTTTGTCACTACATCTAGGTCAACTACTTCAAATAATAACAATAATATTGCAAATGATGGTCAGAAACTAACCGACGATAATAATCAAATTGATTTGAAAAAGTTATCGTCCAAAGAACGACGACAACTTCGCAATAAAATTTCGGCTCGGAATTTTCGTGTTCGTAGAAAAGGTTTGTTTTAATTTATACTTTATATATGCCTTAATAATGCTTTAATAATAATATATAACTGAATTAATTATAACCCTTTATTGTTTAGAATATATACAAAGCCTTGAGTCTACGAAAGAGCAACAGCAGGAAGAAATAAATTTGCTTCGACAAGCATTATTGCACTTGCAAGAAGAAAATACAAAATTACAACAAGAAGTAGAAGAATTACGCAAACAACAAAAGCAAAATAACAAAGCATTCGTCACCTCTCCACCTTCGCCACCTCATATTTCCTCTCTGGCAGAGAAAGAGATTAATAACAACCAAGAATATTTTAAAAACGGGAATTCCCAACGATCATCAAATCAAAATAAATCTGTACCTCAAAACCAATCTCACTCATCTGACTCTCGTTATTTGATAATTCCGAATGTCAACAAAGATGCATCACCTTCTTCTTCTTCTGGAAGCCCTAAAACCTGGCAAGATTCCCGTGTTAGAGTACAAACAACATTTATTCCCGAGTTTAATCTCGATAAACATCTTTTTGAAGATAAACCAGAATTTTCATTTTTTGATTCCATTGCTTGTAATCAACCTATCAGAAGAAGTGATTTGTTCGATGCAGGATTACAATATAATGGTCAAATGGCACAATTTGCGTACACTTTATTTTCCACTATAGTACAACAAATCACGGTCTTATTTTTTGAAGCAGTATGTGCCACACCTCAACAAGAAATGATTTCTGCTTTATTTCCCAACATTATTTCATCCCCCAATACCATGACTGAAAGTCAAAAATCTCTGGAGATTTTTGATAATGAAAAAAGAGAATTTAACATAATTGAAAGGGAACCTAATGTAATTCTTGATCAACCTTCATTGGATCCTTTACCATCGAATAATGAAATTGATGTTGGTAAGAATGAAGAAGAATCTAATAATGAAATTAATTTTGATAAGAACAAAAGAGAAACTAAAATAATTAGTGATCAACCCTCGTTAGATCTTCTATCAGTTAATAATGAAATTAACGAAGGAGAGTCGTTGTTAGATAATAATATGATGGTAGAATTTGTTGAAGAAGCATCTGTCCTAGATTGGCTTTATGATTCTATGGTAAATCATGTCGTGGAGCAAAGTCAAATGGAAGCCAGAATTATGGAATTAAGCGATTGGGTTGGTGAAGAGTGGGATGATAATGTTTTACCATTTTTATTTTAGTTAGTTCTTGTATTTTGATGATCTAAAAATTGAACGTTCATCATTCTTATATCTTGTAAATATGTATAGTTGTTTTAAGATTTTCATTTAAGGTATTTTGACTTATTTGTTTTTTATCAAAGTTAAATAATTCAAAGAATCAAACGTATGCCATTCTTTATTCATTTATACAGATAAATCAATTATGAATTTTTATGAATTTTGTATCTCTTTTTGTTTTTTGTTTTTTTGATTATATGCTTGATATAACTGATATATGGACAATTTAACATTCTTCTATAATATTATCAATCTTTATAAAGAATTTTTTTTAATAAAGTAAATTCAAAATCACATTAATTTTGTCATGGGTACATTTTATACGAAGTTTTATTTAATATAAATCATGTGAATAATATAACTAAATATACTGCCTTATTCAGTAAATTTTTGTTGGCTGGCCTATGAGTTTAACTTATCTTAATTCTTACCTTCGCTATGTGACAATTCTTGAGAAATAGGGTTGAAACTTTTAATATATTTCAATATTGATTTTATTTTTGTCAATTAATTGATAAAAAAAAAATAGTTTAAATGTAGCTATGATAGATAATTATTTCGTTCTAAAATTTATATTGATAAAACTTCTTTCTAAACTCAAAAATCATCCAATCAAAATGAAAAAATGAAAAAATGAAAAAAAATTATTATTTGGAAGAGAATTCTAAATCTGTAAAAATTTTGAAACTGAAGTCCATAAGTTGCAAATTTCACACTCAAAAATCCGTATTATTTAGAATTTGTAAATTAGTTGCAGGTATCATCTTCTTTATAAACTCAAGTTGATAGTTACATGTGTTTGAAATTCAAATTTTAAATTCTGTAATATACACATAATTTAAAAACTATATGCAAAATTTGTGTGGGGGTTTCAAATTTTTGTGCTAGCGCTAATATTTATATTATTAAATTTGATAATAGATCTGCCTAAATTATAATTGGTTAAATTTTCGTTTCACGTGTTGATCGACCGTACGTCTCACTTATCATTCCCAAAGGTAGGCAAAGGTAGCAAAGGTATTGTTTTTGATATATCAAATTTCATGTGACAAAATAGTTATTTTTTGATTCATCTATAAATAAAACAATTATAAACATATCAAAATAATGACCATTTTGTCACAAGTATTTGATTTATCAAAAAAAACAAAGGTAGTGGTGGGATCACGAATGCAGATGCAAATCAATAAATGTGATTATAATACGTTGGCGAATGACCTTTAAAGAATATAATCACATGTATAAATTTCTACTTTGTAATACAAATTATGTAATACACAGCCTACACGGATATCCGTTTATATCCGTTTTATCTATTAAAATACATAATAATTTTATCCGCGGATCGCACCACTACTCAAAGGTTACGAGTAACTACAATTCGAACAAATTTATTAAATGTAACATGCTTTCTGGTCTGTATGCCTCATATAAATAGTGTGCTGTACACGACACACAACAACACGAAACCTTTAACTTCGTAATTTTCAAATTTTCAAAAATATAATTTTACAATATTAGATGACGAAAAAGAAAATTATTAAATGTATAGAGAAAATGAAAATCTTGCGTAAATTAATGCAAAAATTATTAATATTAATCTATCGTTTTTTAAAAAGGAGGATTTACATTATGTATATTATTAAAGGATGAATTATAGAATTTGAATATTTGCAAGAAAGAGAAAGGGGTTATATAGTTATATATTCGTAATAGTACAAGTACAAAATAATTCTCGTTCAAATAATTTTAGTTAAGATCTACAACTGAATATGTTCCCATAGAACTAGATCGCTTATTATTTAGAGCAATGTTCATGTCTACGCAATGACGAGGGAATACACCTTTAGTTCCTCCTCGGGTTTCATTAACACCTTGTACCCACCCATCATCATATTCAACTAAAATAGCAACTTTATCTCCTGGTTGTATATCTAATTCATCAGGTAAAGTTGGAGTATAAGTTGCAATAACTGTATATGAACCTATAGGTTTTGGTTGTGGTGGTGAAGTATAATTAGTTTCCTCTTCCAATTTTTCATATGTATTATTTTGTTGTTCCCAAGCAGAAGAAGATGTTGCGACTATTGTATCAGTCATTTGTCGACGTTTCTTTTTACGAATACAAGTGAGCGCGCCTATAAATATAACAATAAGACTACAAACTGCAGCAATTAATGCTATACCTGTAGTACTAAGGCTACCGGTAGGAACGCTCTGACTTGATGCACTGTTTGTATAAGTAGTTGCAGCAGAGGTTGTCGTAGCACCTAAAATGAATGATTTTTTTATTATATTATTGATAGCAAAATTTTGGTATAATGAAATTTTTTTTTTTAAAAACTTATTTCTTACCATTTAAATTTTTATTTTGTTCAATGCTTGAAGATGTATTTGTAGTAGTGACTGATGGAGTATTTGAAGAAGCATTTGTAGTAGCACGTGTAGTAGTAACTGAAGAAGTTTTTGAAGAAGTTTTTGAAGTAGTACTTGTAGTAGTAGCTGATGTAGCTGATGAAGTATCCTTAGAAGGCTTAGAAGGGGTACTTGTAATGCCTGCAATTTCTAATGAAGTAGCTACATCAATGTTGATTTCACTAGTACTACTATCCGAAGATGGTTTATCAGTTGATGAAGGTGTATCATCAGTTGTTGAAGGTTCAGGATCCTTAGGATCGTTAGTATCTTTAGGGTCTTTAGGATCTTCGGTATCTTTGGGATCTTTAGAATCTTTAGGATCTTTAGCCCTTGCTTGGAGTTTATTGTTAAATCTATCTGCTAGGTTTCTCTTTTTTATAAAAATCTCGGAATCATCATATCGATATGATAATCGTTTAATTATTAATCTTGCATCGACGTGGGCATTTTGCTGCGAGATTGAGAAAATTATGGAAATGAATACGAGAGAAAGAATCGATAGAATTGATAAAGTGCGCATAATTTATAAGGAATTTCTGTGTCGGGATTTTTTAAGCTATAATTTTGGTATCAGACCAGAATTTTGTTAATAATTTTTTAATAGTAAAAAGTTATGAATATAATATTAAAGTATTTATGAACTTACATTTAAAAATCGATACAGAAAATATGTATTTTTTTTTAATAAATCTATTATTTGTCTTCTATTATATTGATGTGAAGTAAATTAACATTCGAAACATTTAAAAAACCTAAGCTATATTAATTGTTAAAAGGGGAAGGCGAAAGGAAATGTTGGAATAGGGAAAGTGAAAAAAGGGGGGAGAAAAAAAGAGTCAAGCTTGTATTGAAACAGTAGCTTGGTGATAGTGGCAAAGAAACGCACACTCTTTACGGGAAAGAAGAAAAATAATAAAAATGAAAGTAGTGAAAATAAGTAAAAAGATGAGAATTCGGCACAGTGTCCTTTTCACATTTTTTTCGAAATTATTAAATATTAATATTGGTGTTTATATTAAGTGCTTAATTGGTAGTAACATAAATTACATGCATGAACACACAATAAATTACGTGAATCAACAACTTCCAAAAATGTAAATGTTCTTTTTTTTTTCCGGAAAATTGAGTGAATAAAACTATTTATAACAATATTCGCAAAACGATAGTAATAAACACTGAATTTAAATTAAATGATTTCTTAATACTTTTACTTTTACTTTAATTGTTTCTTATTTCAATCTTTCGATATATAATCACCATCTCGTCTATCACATCTTGAAATTATGTCTTCTCAGATGTCACAGATTGACCAGAATTATAACTACGGCCTATGTAGATCTTTTTAAATTCAGCTAACCCTAACCTTTAACTTTGGCCAGTTTTTAATCCGAGGCATCACAACATATATATATGATCTCTATCACCTTTTCACGGAATTGCTTTTTATGAGAATATTTGCTAAACTAGAGAAATATATTTATATTATCAACTACCTTTCGGCCTCTAAGAAAAAACGGTCAACACTAAATTTTGCATATATTTGTAGTTTTTTTTATTATATCAATAAAAGTCTGTCACCTGATTAAAACCCATAAGCTAAAGCTCTCAACTATACATGTGCCAAAAGTAAAAAGCTGAGATTTAATTATATCTGTAATTGTATCAATTATGTCAATTTTTCACATGTATACTTCCAACTATTTAATTTGAACTGAAGTTGAATGGCCCAATTTTTGTTTTAATTCAGTCTAGTTTTATTAAATATAATTTGAACAATTCCAATTCAGTTTTGACTTCTTTAGTTAATATTTTTAATTAATTACTATTATTATTACTTGGTTAGGTTATAAAGGCTTTTTTTTAAAACAAAAATAGTTTAGGTCTAGTAAGTAACTGGCATAAAAACTAACAATATTTATATTAGAACCAATGATGGAATTAATAATAACCAGCGGAACCAACATCAATTGTACAATATTCATCATCATCAATGACTGCTGCATCATTGGTATCTTCAAAAGTTACTTCTTCTACCAAATATGAATCCTAATATTAATTCGAATGTGAATTCCGGTATTAATTCTAATATGAATATGAATGTTGTAATATTAATCATAATCTAAATGTTATTAATCCTGGTACGTCGTCACCTTTTAAATGATAATATAATAATATGATTTCGACAAGTGGATCAGGATCAGGATCGGGATATGCCGTTAATATTCCTATTGTTAATATTGTTATAACTCCAAATCGATCAAATACAGCAAATCTATCAAATCTACCAAATAGATCAAATAATTATACACTTACACAGACTAATAATTCTAATAATAATAATCTTAGTAATATAAGAATATTAGTCAACAACATACAACAAAAAAAATACATCAAAAAATATATCAACAACATTGACAAGTATCACTTGTAAATGGTGGACAAATTAGTAATATTGGCGGAAACACTTTAAATAATAACAATAATAATATTATTATTAGTAATACATTTGCTGGAAGGTCTAGATCTCAACCTATTATTCTCCTTTCCACAAAGATAATAAAACAAATCAAAATACAAATGCAATCAATAATGCTACCGTTGCTACTGCCGCTGCTGCTTGTTGTTGCTGCTGCTAATGCTTTCTCTAATTCTAATATCGCTACTGCTTCCCGACAACAACAACAATAACGTCTTGCTATTTTACATGAAAACGACTTAGTACATAGTACAGTGCGGAACCTCTATTTTCTCAATTTTCTTGGTTTATGTAGCATCACATGATGCAATTTTAATCAATAAAAATTCAAGAAAATATATTCACGTGTTTATATAAAATTATAAATTTCATTT